TCCTCCATTCTCTCCTGTAATAGGCTTTGTATGTATGAACTATGTCTTAGGTGGTTGACACTATGTCAAGCATCATATGGTGATGAATATGTAGATTGTGGTTCTTGTTTTGGGAGATTAATAATAGGTGAGATGGCCAGGATTAAGGAGTGAGTTATTGTAATAATTTTGGGCAGCAGCATCTCTCACCTGCAGTACTACAGTGACCTCACATGATCTTCAGCCTTTGTAATATGTCACAGTTAGAGTGAACTTTCTGAAAACTCAAGTTTAAAACCTTTCCTGGCTGCTATCAGGTTAATAACCTACTCTGAGCTGACTTCGTGCTTTATCTCCTGCTTCATGTTGACTTGTTGGCTCTTCTTTCCCCATTCTACAGCTTTACAATGAATATCAGCCCTGCTTACACTGTCCAGAAAGAACTGAGACTATACCTCTGTAGCTTTGAGTATTCAGTTCCCTGAGCTCTTTCCTTGGTTGGTTCCTCCACCAATCATTTCTTATAGGAATCCTTCCTGGACCTATGAAGTGTAGAGAATTCATCCTTGGCTTTGTGTCTTGAGATGTCTATCACACTCTGTAGCTGTTCGTGTGTTGTGTAAGTCTCATTGGGTAGTTGACTTGTGTCTGTTTCACTTTCTATAATGCCTTACCGTTCTTGTAGTGTAGGTGCAAAATGAAAACTTAGGAAATATTGCTCTAAAATGTATAGTTATTATCATGCAGTCAGAATTGAATTTGAAAACCATTTCAGAATTGAGATGGAAGTTTGTGGTATTTTCAATAAAGCCATGTGGAACAGGTCGCCACATTTGCACTATGCAGTTGAAAGTTCTAAACTGTGTTTGATAAACATACATAGCAATAAGTTTGATACTGTGACAGAAAGTTAATAACAGATGTTATCTAGTTGTCAAAGTCTGGTCTTACTAAATATTAAGTGACTGTACTGGAAGAAAGTAGTAGATGTGCAAACAGAATGTGAAAAGTAGCAAAATCTGCTTATTTATTTAATTTTGTTTTTTAATAAATATTTTATTATTTTTATTTTATGCATCTGAATGTATTGCCTGCAAGTATGTTAGTACACCCTTGTCATGCAATGCCCGTGGAGGTCAGAAGACGGCAGCAGATTCCCCTGAAACTGGAGTTACAGATGGTTATTAGCCACCATGTGAGTGCAGGGAATGGAACCTGAGTCCTCTGCAAGACCAGCCAATGCTCTTAACCACTGAGCCATCTCTCCAGTCCCCTATTTATTTTAAAGATCTTATTTTTATTATGTATATATGTGTGTGTCTGTGTGTGGGTTTGTGCACATGTGTTCAGGTGCCCACAAAGGTCAGAAGACATCGGATCTCCTGGATCTAGAGTTAGAGTTGTTAGCCGCCTTTCATGGGTGCTAGGAGCTGAACTCAAGTTCTCTGTAATAAATGCTCTTAACTGCTAAGCCAGTCCCTTTCTGGTTTTTGTTGTTATTTATTTATTTATTTATTTATTTATTTATTTAGCTAGTTAGTTAGTTAGTTAGTTAGTTAGTTAGTTAGTTAGTTTTGAGACAGGGCCTCCCTGTAGCTCTAGTAGGCCTGAAGATTGAGGCCAGCCTGGTCTACATAGTGACCTACAAGGAGACTCCTTCTCAAAAAAACCAAAATTCACAAAACAAAACAAAACAAAATCAAATAATCTTCCAGAACCTGCCAGGTGTTGTTGCACACCCCTTTAACCTCAACATTTGGAAAGCTGGAGGCAAGTGGGAGGCAGAGGCAGGTGGGTCTCTGTGAGTACTTGGCCAGCCTGGTTTACATAGTGAGTTTCAACAGAAATTGACAGCCACCAAGCCATCTCCCCAGCTCCATATTTTTTCTGTTTTTAGAAGCATCTAGAATTGGAACATACCTATGTATAAGGTAATGCTAAAGTTTGAAATGTAATATTTCCCCAAAAGTATTAGCTAGAAAATGTCAATATATTATATATGCAGTATTTTGGAGAGTCAAGAAGATCACTTTTTTCAGTGTTCCTATTAAACTTAATATGGTATAAGATTATTTTTGTCTTTTTGTTTTTGGCCTTTCCCTGACAATAGGACTTTCCATCTCATTGAATCCTGTTCTATGACTTGTTTCATTTGCATTTACTATAAAGCTCTTTTGGAACATACTTAGTTTCTTTCAAGGTATAAGTGATAATGCTAGAAATATCAGTGGAACATTAGCAATTAAATTGTCTTGTTGAATTCTGATGATTGAAAAACTACACACTCTGGATTTTTTATTGTCCTTTTTTTCCACTTAAAATAATTCCCTGTGAGACGAATTCAATGCATTTTGACTCATCAGAAATTGGTTGAAAGAAATTCAAGCTTAGATTCCTGTGATCTGATGATTAAATGGTTAGCCCTGGGCTAATTTGCCTATATAAACAATTTAATTAGTTGTGTAGAGCTAGAATCACCATAGGAGTATTTGGTGTGACTTCCTACTGTCCTTCGTTTCACCTTTTTTATTAGTACTTCTGGTGAATTTTCTAAAGTTTCGCTTTTATTTTATTAGACTTTTAAAGTTTTAGAAGAGATGTTTTTAGGCACTTAGTTCTGTCCACTCCTTGGTTCTGGGTCTGTTTTCATTGCCTTTAACCAGGAGTCTGCCTGAGGGAGCCTGCAAGTATCTAGAGGGAGGGTGCTCTTCAGTGCTTTGTGTGGGCTTGCTGGCTTGAGAGAAATTTTCTCTGGTGATATAGTTTAAAGTGGATGCTGTCACCATGGAAAAATGGACTCCTTCCAGATTCTCTTTTCTGGAAAGTCATTGTTGAATATGTCATCCCACCAGGAACATACTGTTCTAAATTACTAAAATTGGTTCAGAGCTTAGTTTTCCTAACCATTGTCTAATAGGAATACGGAAATAATGGCAGTGACATAATTGCTTATGAAACTGTTATGGCACACTTAGGGTTTATTAATAGGAAGTGTCTGTTGAATTTTTTTCCTTAAATGTATATCTTGTTTATAGCAAAACTGACGAAACTGATGAAAACTATGCATTGCAATAAAAAGTATTATTCAATGGCTTTTAGTAGATATTCCAATGTCCCTCATACCTTTTCACTTTCCTTGTTTTCTTTTTCGTTAATTTCTTTAGAATGACTCTTTTGGGCTATATGCCACTCCCTGGATCTAACAGAGTTCTCTCTTCTGTGAAGCCCTCTGACTATTCTAGTCTGTCTTTCTGATCCTATGTCTCAGAACTCATATTTATTTAGGCCTTAGCCCCACAGTTAGGACACTTAAATGTTTTACCAACTAAATTTTTTTTTTTTTTTTGGTATTTTTGAGACAGAGTCTCCCTGTAGCCCCAGCTGGCCTAGAACTCGCTATGTAGACCAGGCTAGCCTTTAACTCATAGAAATCTGCCTGCCTCTGCCTCCCAAGTGCTGGGATCAAAGGTGTGCACCACCATGCCCAGCTTACCAACTAAATTTTTTTAAAAAATGTTTAATTTATTATTTTTATTTTATGTGTATGAATGTATTGCCTGTATGTTTTTAAGTGCACCTGTATTTCGCAGTAACGATGGCGGTCAGAAGAGGATTGTTGGATCCCCGGAACTGGGATCACAGACCATTGTTAGCTGCCATCTGGGTGTTGGGAACTGAACCCTGGTATCTACAAGAGCAGCCAGTGCTCTTAAATGCTGAGCCATCTCTCCAGCTCCCCACCTAAAATTTAACTTTGTTATAGGAAGTAACAATTCCTTGTTTTTGCTTTTTTTCAAGAGGTTTACCTAAGTATTCACTGATTATTATCTGAAATTTAAATCCTCTCACTGGAAACAATTTAATTTGGAGATAAAAGCCAGGCATGAAGATAAGAGCCAGATGTGGTGGCTTACACCTTTAATCCCACCAGGTGGATCTCTGCCAGACTGATCTACATAGTGAGTTCTAGGCCAGCTGGGGCTATGGGAAGACCCTGCCTCAAAAAGACAAAGAAAAAAAAAAGTGGAGATAAGAATTTAAAGGGAATTCTCTGTCTCTTAAGTTTCAGTTCAACAAAGGACACACATGACCTTTGGAAACAAATTGGAATAAGTGGTTAAATGAGTTTCTTATTAAGTATATTCCTTCAATGTTTAGCATACTGAAACAGTCCTTAGTTTTTTCTTTGGAGGGGAGGGATTGCTATTTAATATTAGTTTGGAGACTACTGAGGTTTGGAAACTCTCTTTGTCCCCAGTGGCAGAAAATAAGAACAATCACAGATTCTGAAATCAGGCCATCTAGGTGTTGACCTGGGCTCCATCACTTGTCATGTAACAACTCTGCCTCAGTGTCTTTCTGACATGAGGGTACTGTAGTACTGACTTCATGAATTTTGAGGAATAATTAAAATTATATATATATATATATATATATATTTATTTGTATGTACACATACACAATGTTTCGAAGTTCCTGAAACTTTGGAAGTTCTTCGAAATTCTTATCCAGTGGCAGTGGTGCAGCCTTTGTGGATTGGGCTTTCTAAGGACAGTTTTTGTATTTGATTCTCATTTGTGAAGGAGATGACTTGGGGCTAGAGAGACAGTGGATTTGAGTATGGTGGCTCTCTGTAAGGTAATGTTTAAGCCTTATTTTCTACTCTGCTAAACTGGAAAGACTGTTTTTGGATTTGAAATGAACTAGTGCATATAAAGTTACTTCAGAAACTCTTCAGTGATACATGCATGTTAAAATTATTGTTCTTTCATTAGTAAAATTTAAAAATTGTGAATGCCTGTAGTAAATACCTGCTTCTCATTTTTTTCAGCACCTGAATCTGGGAGTATATATGATAAATTTATAATTTTTTTTGAGAATAGAAAGTTTTTAAGTGTCTAAAACTTGCTGTTGGGAAAATCTGCCTATTTTTAGATTGTGCAAGTTGACTTCATAATAAAGGTGTATACCATGTTTTAGAGAGAATATAATGTCTTGCCTTATTCTTCATACTTTTTCAGGTTTGACAACGCAATGGCAGGAAACAGCCTAGTTCTGCCCATTGTTCTTTGGGGCCGCAAAGCACCAACCCATTGCATCTCATCAGTGCTTTTAACAGAGGATGGGGCCACAATTGTAACAGGATGCCACGATGGACAGATATGTCTCTGGGACCTTTCAGTAGAACTGGAAGTGAGTATTTGAAATGTCTGCTATATATCTTAAATATAAGTGAATACTTAATAGAAAATTACACAGTTCACTATTTGGTTGCCCTTAGTTTTGAGTGTTGGAGACATTTTCTTTCAAACCTATGCGTGTATGCTCATATTAAGTATTTAACATGATTACTAATTGCAAGATTAACTTTTTAATTTATTTGTGTGTGTGTGTGTGTGTGTGTGTGTGTGTGTGTGTGCATGTGCACATATTTTTGGGTGCTCACAGAGACCAGAAGAGGGCATCAAACCCTCTGGAACCTGAGTTACAGGAGGTTGTGAGCTGCCTGACATAAGTGCTGGGAACTGAACTCTGGTTCTCTGAAAGAGCAGCAAAGTACTCCTAGCCACTGAGCAATCACTCTAGCCCCAAGGTTAACTTTTATATTTGGTATTTATGCCAGCATATTTTTGCCTTTCTAGGTTAATCCTCGAGCATTGTTATTTGGTCACACAGCATCAATCACTTGTTTGTCGAAGGCCTGTGCATCTAGTGACAAACAGTACATTGTGAGTGCATCTGCAAGTGGGTAAGTTATTGTTTTTTCTTTTCTTTCTTTTTTTTAAACTTATAAAAGGAAGTGTTTATTTAGCTTATGAATCCAAAGGGGCAAGAGTCCATCATGGTGGGGAGGTATGGCAGCAGAGGTTACTGGAAGAGGAGCAGAAGCTAAGTGCTTACATCTTCAAGCAGGCACAGGAACCAAGAGAGCGACTCAGGAACTATTTTTCATTTTTTAGTCAGGTTTCTCTTTTCCTACATTTGTACATGTTTTTAAAAATGCAATTTTTTTATTTGTCACTTAAAAGTTGTGTTTTGGGGACTGGAGAGATGGCTCAATGATTATGAGCACTTGCTAGTCTTCCAGAGGACCTGACTTAAGTTCCCAGTGCTCATGTTAGGCAGTTCACAACCAATTGTAAGTCCAAGTCCACAGGCTCCAACACTCTTCTGGCTTTGGTGGGCACCTGCAAGCACATGGCGTGCGCACGCACGTGTGCACACACACACACACACACACAATTTAAAAAAAAAAACCTTTCAAACTTGTGTTCCTGGGTTATCATGTGACTTATATTTTCTCACTTTATAACTAGGGCCAGTGTATTAGCAAGTAGGGAGAATTTTCTTTGAACTGTAATTCTAAGGATATGCATTTTTTATTACTAATGATTTTTTTGTGATATTTGTATTGCCTTTGCCTTGCTTTTCAGCAGCCCAGAGTGCCATGAGAGTAAAAGCATAACGAATAATCCCCGTGGCATTTTTATTAATCAACAGCCAACTTTGAGGTTCAAAAAACCTGACTGATACTAGACTGTCATAGATTTGGGAGCTGATGCTATGCCAATGTTTATGCAGTTGTATTGCTGTGTGTTACTGGACCTAGTTCTGTTTCTAAGTCTCAGAACATACCTTGTGCTGTGGAGGGCAGGTCATGGAACAATAACTGTAGGGCCCAGACTGTGATGATTTTTTTTTTAATATTTTATATATTGTTTTTATTTTATGTGTTTGAGTATATTGCTTGCATGTATGTGAGTGCACCTGTGTTGTGCAATGCTGTAGAGGTCAGAAGAGGGTGTCGATTCCCCTGGAACTGGAGTTAAGGATGGTTCATAGCCGCCATATGGGTTCTGGGTATCAAACCCAGGTTCTCTGCAAGAGCAATCAACGCTCTTAACTGCTGAGCCATCTCTCCAGCCCCTGGACTGTGATGAATTTTAAAAACATTTTTGATATTTAGAAAATTGTATGTTTATACAAAGTACTATTGAAACAAGTTGGAAGATTTGAGAAAATTATATAAAATAGCATTTTCCCCTCCTATTCTTTTTGGATTTGAAAAAACCTGTGTATAATTTTTTGGAACATGAAGAAGCAATATCAAGTAAGAATGTAGTCTTTTTTGGTCAACTCAAAGGATAATTTACATTTGGGATACTTGTTGATTGAAAAAATTGTTTCAGCCGGGTATGGTTGTACATGCCTGTAATCCCAGCACTCAAGGCAGAGGCAGGTGGATCTCTGAGTTCAAGGCCAGCTTGGTCTACATAGCAAGTTCCAGGTTAGCCAGAGGTACACAGTTAGCCCCTGTCTCCAAAACACAAAACATACAAAAATTAACAACAAAATTCTTTTTTCATATCATATGAGATATAACAAAATAATATCAAAAAGAAAAACTAGTAAAGATTATTGCATTTTATTAATATTTTCTTCTGTTAAATCATAGTTCTAGAAAAGACAAGGCATATTGATGTTTCTAATTTTCAACATATCATTAGTTTGAAATATAAGATTTTTTTGGTAGGCACTTAATTAATCTTCCATATCAGAACCAAACTCCAGAATTGTATTTAATTTGCTAACATTTGGAATTCTGTTGGCTTTAACTTTTGTTTGTTTTTTGTTCACATTGATAACGCATGACAGATCTCAGTAGTTTAGATTACAACTTTATTTCTTAGCTTTGCCACTTGCCCTTAAATATTGGGGTATTGGGGCTCTACTCTGTTTCTTTATTATCCTTAGTTTGAAGTTTAGAATGAGGGAGCAACCACTATCTGGAGCAGCTGCTATCTGGAACCTCTGCAGACAAGAAAGAGCATTGTGGAGGGCCTCATAAGTTCTGTTCAGAACTACTCACAAGACTCCACCGACCAAGGGAGAGCCAGGATGTGCATTCCACTGGAGGAAGGCTATAAATTGAGGTGGGGCGTTGGCAGGTTGCAAGTGGGGTAGAATGGTGAGGGAGAGGACTAGAAATTTAATAATAATCAATACTAATAATGAATATATGCTATTGCCCCCATCCCTCCCCACCCCATATTATATCAGTTTCAGTGATTTAATTTTAAGCCACCATGACAAGATTGAGTTTATAAATTGTATTCAAAGTGAGCTTTATTTTGTTTTATATAGAGAGATGTGCCTCTGGGATGTGAATGATGGCAGATGTATTGAATTTACAAAATTAGCCTGCACACATACCGGCATACAGGTTGGTATCTTTTTCTTAGTTAAGTCAGCACTGTTTATTACAAGTGCATCGTTAAAATATGCTGTAAGGCATTAAACCTTTACTTTTACGTGAGACGTGGTGGGGAGAGGTAATATGAGAAGTGTTTAGAATTACCGTGACAGTGTTCTTCAAAACATGACACAGGTGGGAATGGTAATTATGTGGAAGAGACTAATGGAACAAGGTGTGAGAAAAGCCAGTCATGCTGCCTCTGTGATTTGGATCTATCCTGGCTACCGGTTGAGGGCTTGTGTAAATGAGCTTTCTGTTGGAAGATGCTCAGGTAATCAACTTCTCAAGAGAAAAGGTTTACTTTGACATACTGTTTTCAGAATTTCTAATCCATGAACCAGGTTGCTTTTAGGCCTATGGGTGGGTGCTGGATGGCAGTGATGGGGAGTGTATAGTAGAACAGAACTGCTTACCTCTGGCCACAAAGCACAAGAGGAGAGGAGGAAGAGGCTGGCACCAGAAAGTACTCTTTAGGGTTGTATCCATGGTGACCTGAAGACCTCCTACTAGAGCCTACCTTGTAAATGTTCTACTGCTTCCTACTAGCTTCACCCTGAAATCAAGCTCACGGACCCTTGGGGAGCCTTTAATATACAAACTGTAGCAGGCTTTTACTACTCAGGAAGTACGTGCACGCAATCCCAAAGAGCATAGTTCTTTCCTTCCAGAGCTGTTACGATTCCGTCTGTGACTGGTACAGACTGACCCCCTTTTTAGATTGTATCTTTTTTGTTGGTCATGTAGTTTGCCTTTGGACACTTAAAAAAAAACCTTCCCGTTCTTTAGAACAAATGACTATTTTGTATGTTTAGCTTAATATGTAGAATAGTATTCAAGAGTTTGTACTTCTGACTAAAGTCTTTTTCATAATTGTCATATCTGTTTCTATTTGCTCATCATTTATTGTGTTGAATGTTGAGATTTTATATATATATATGTATATATAATATCATCAATTTTGTTCTTGATGATAAAGAGAAAACTCATTTATTGAGTGAATTTATTGAGGCATTTCTGGTATTGTTTAACTGAGTCCTTCAAATATCCTTACAAATTGATTAGGAGTACATAATTTTACATAGAAGGACTCTGAGACCAAGAGAGATTAAATGGTGTGACCAAGTCTCACAGTGAGTCGTTCCCAGCATCAGGTTTGTCTGACTCTACGGTCTGTGTTCTTTCTCTTCCATCATACTACCTTCTGTAAAACAAAGCAATAGCAGCTTGTCAAGAAAGAAAGCTCTGTGCTAACACAGATTCAGTAAGCAAAATGTTTGTTGGGAGTGGTGATTAGGCGATGTGGGCCTTTCCTAACTGTCTCTTACTCTAGCAAGGCCCCTTTAAAATAGTTTCACCATGGTTTTAAATTAATATGCTCTTAATTTAAAAGGCGTATGTTGGGTTGGGGAGATAGTACAGTCAGTGAAGTGCTGACAAGGACCTGAGTTTGATTCCCAGAACCCATGTAAAAAAGCTGGACTTTGTGGCATGCGCGTTTAAACCAGTTCTGGGCACGTGGAGACAGATGGATCCCTGGTGTTTACCAGCCAGTCAACTTATCCTGATTTTTGAGTTTCAGGCCAGTGAGAAACCTTGTATCTAAATAATAAATAAATAAATAAATAAATAAATAAATAAATGAATATAAATAAAAAAAAAACTACAAAAAACCCTGACAGTGTTTGAGGAATGACACGAGTTTGTCCTATGGCCTCCACAGCATGCTCACATGTTCATGTGCACCCCCACATGTACACTTGCACATACATGAACCCACATGCCTTCATACATCTACATGCAAAAGACATTTATTTTGATCATGTGAGCAATCAGTAAGGCTTACAAAGAAAAAGGGCTAATAAAATGATATAGATTCATAGATTTTATTATTTATGTTATAAAACTAAGTATCAAACATCATACATAATTGACTGTTGTACAATTTGGAATTATGGTTTAAAAACTTTTGGCTTAAATATTAGGGAAAATTATCTATTTATGTTTAGCATATTTTGAATAACAAAAAAAATCAGATCCCATATTAGGCTGTCCCTAAATAGAACATGATTTTTGCAGATTCATGAGCACGATGGCAGTTTACTGTGTGCATCTCACTTGCTCAGGTCCAGAAAGGCATTGCTTTGATAGACACAGAAATCACATAGTAGAGCCAATTTGTTATTATATGAGACATCTCTTTTATTTATTTAAATTTTATTTTTTAATTGAATTTTTGCAATTTTCATACAATATAGTTTGATGGTATTTAGATCACCTCTGACTAACATATATAATATATATGTATATATTCATATAAAAGCCTGTAGAGTCTGATTTGTGTTCCCAAATGTCCTTCAGTGTGGGTCCATTCACTGGGTCCACTAAGAGTTTCATTTGCGAGTTTCATACAAGAGTACAGTGCAATTTCATCATACTTATCCCTTCTTCCCCATCAAACTCCCCCCATGCCCCTGCTATGACCCCCCACCCCCCAATTCATGTCCTCTTGTTCTTTAACTATTATTGTTTCTACTGAATCCAATTAGTGTTGTCTGTACGGACATGGATGTGGACTTCACCTCTTGAGCATGAGCAAGCTATCTGGAGCTCTAAAGAAAGTGACCTTTCCTCTCTCAGCAGTCTTGGATTGCCTGGAGCTCCTCAACTGGGAGTGGGGTCTTCTGAGCTCTTCCCTCATATTGGGTTTCTGGAATATTGACTGGTGTGGTCTTGCACAGGCACCCACATTGCTGAGAGTTCATGGGTGCAACTTCTTTATTATGTCCAGAAGATACTGGAGATATTTTTAAAAAATATTTGTTATTTTTATTTTTTATGTGTATGCATATATTGCATTGTATTGCATGCATATATGTAAGTGTACCCATGTCGTGCAATGCTCGCAGAGGAGAGAAGAGGCCATTGGATACCCTGGAACTGGAGTCACAGACAGTTGTTAGGTGCCATGTGGGTGCTGGGATTCAAACCAGAGTCCTCTGTAAGGACAGCCAGTGTTCTTAACCACTAAGCCACCTCTCTAGCCCCTGAGATATCTTTTTAAAATAAATATTTTTATTACTTTTATTTCATTTTGTGTATATTGTTTCTTATATAGGTATATCATGATTAAGAAAAATACCTCCCCTTGTTCACAGTGTTAAGCTCTGAGAATAGGAGTAAATGAGTGTGGGGCCAGACTGGATCCTGGATTTCATAGTTTTTGCATTGCCTTTTGTGCTTCTCTTAGCTTTCACTCAAGTGATTCATTTAGCAGTCTGGCAGTGTCTTCACCCCCTACAAATCCAAGAGAACTGGTCCACTTAAAGATCCACTGTTTTGTGAGGTTAAAGGAAGACGTGTCCTTTGATACATTGTTGGTCTTACTTTGATGGTTATTCTTCCTCTGCTCTTTAGTCAGAATTTAATTCTGATTATAAGGTATTTGAACAATGTCGTGGTTAATTTCAGTTGTCAACTTGACACACTTGGCCAGAGGGAACCTCAGTTGAGGAATTGCTTCCATTGTAGTGGCCTGTATTCTTGTCCTAGTTTGCTTTTTGTTTTTGTGATAAAACAATGACCAAAGACAACTTGGAGAGGAAAGGATTCATTTTATTTTGTTACAATCCATCATTGAGGGAAGCCACGGCAGGAACTTAAAGCAGGGGATTGAAGCAGAAACCATGGAGGAATGCTGCTTGCTTGTTTGCTCCCATGCTTATGTTTGGCTACCCTTCCTAGAGAGCTTAGGCTCATCTGCCTAGGGATAGTACCACTCATGTTGGGCTAGGCCCTCTGACATCAATCAAGAAAATGCCCCCACAGACATGCCCCTCAGGCCAATCTGATAGAATTCCTCCATTGAGGCATCATTCATCCTTACCTCTGTTCTATATTGAGAGCAGTAGCTGATTTCCTTGTTACTATGACAAAATACCTGACAAGAAGAAACTTAAGGGAGGAAGGCTGTATTTCAGTTTATAGTTCATGTGGACGTAGTCTTCATGGCAGGAAAGATCTGGTGGCAGGGGGTGTGAGGTAGCTGGTCATATTGTATCTGCAGTTAGGAAGCAGAGACAGATGAATGCTCATGCTAAACTTGCTTTCTCCTGAGTCCCAGCTTATGGAATGGTGCTACCCATATTTAGGGTGGATTTTCCCACCTTACTTAATGCAATCTAGAAATTCCCCCACAGACAAGCTCAAAGATTGGTCTCCTAGATGACTCAGGAGTCTGCCCAGTTGACAGTATTAATCACCACATTAACAACTTGTATTCACTTAGAATTCATACTGGTTTTGTGACTCACGTGACCTTCCTTGTTGATTTAATTCGTTAAACTGGTTGTATTCAGATGTTTCATTAATTAAAAAAATCCTGTTTCAGTCACTAGAGATGGAGATAAAAATATTTGTCATGACTTTTTGATCTGTAAGAGTTCAAAAGTGAGTCTGAAATTTTTTCATGGATGTTTAAGAAGATTAATATAACCCAACGTTGGTATGCCTTTCTGAAAAAAATACTGGAAGAATTTAGTCTTAGTAGAGTATCATAATATACTTAACGAATGCATATTAATCGATATTAATCTAGTAGACTAAAGCAACACATTTAAAAATCTTGTTTCTTCAACATATCTTAAAATGAAGTGGAGATCTTCTTTAAAGGGTAAAAACTCATCCAATTTTATGTCCTACAGGGCTTTTACTGAGTTCATTATTGTATGACTGTATTAATTCAACTGTGAACCTAAAAATTTACAGCCACCTTTGAAAGAGATGTATCCTTGCTCTGGAATGTGTTACTGAATATGTTAAAGCTGTAATGAAATGCTTCTTAAAAAAAAAAAAACTTGAAAATAAAATTTGAAAATTAAAAAAAAAAAAATCTTGTTTCTTTTAATTTGGATTTAGTTCTACCAATTCTCTGTTGGAAACCAGCGAGAAGGAAGGCTTTTATGCCATGGACATTACCCTGAAATCCTCGTCGTGGATGCTACCAGCCTTGAGGTGTTATATTCCTTAGTATCAAAGATATCACCAGACTGGATTAGCTCCATGAGCATTATCCGATCTCACCGGACACAAGGTCAGTGCGGTACACCCTTTATGAACTTGAACATTTCCTGTGATGTTCTATAATTGATCAAAATTAATAATAATTTTTGTTACATTCAAGAAATATTAGCGCCAATAATATGTGATCTGTCTTCCTCATAATGGACTTTTGGCTGAATTAATATTTAAACTCATAAAGTGGGAGAGTATCTTCATTCTGTGGGATGGCTCGGTAGCTCACTGGTTTTGGGCAGTCTCAGTCTATGTGGATGGTTTTCTGAAGTGGGGCAGAGTGCTGTAACTGTTGGAGTGTGGTGAAGGGAAGAACTGTAGCTTCATGTGTGTTTTTCTGGAGTCTGGTTTTATCTTTTGTGAAGAGGCAGCATTTCCTGTGGGGACAATGAAGAGAAGAGATATAATTGAATGGTTTTCTGTAACTGCCTGGTTACTTGCCACTCAGTAAATATTACTGCTTTTTCTTCATTTTTGTTGAAACCTTTCACTGAAAACTGTAAGGGTAAACATAATTGTTTTTTTTTTTAATGAAAGAACAATATTTTATGCAAACGAATGTATATTCTTCCAAGACTTTGGGGGTGCTCTTCTAAGTGGTTTCAGGTTTTGTGCTTTTCTATAAAGGTTGGCAGTGCTCCACCACTGCCACCAGGAGGACTTCATTATTTAGTACTGACAGTATCAGGCATCATGCTAAGCACTTAACATAGGTTCAGCTTTCGCTGTAGTAGTGGGGGTAGGTGCTCTGCTCTTGTTATTTCTATGTAGATGAGGCTTAGGGTGGTAGAAACTTTGCCTAAAAACAAAGAGCATCTAGCTGACTGGTAGCCAAGTGGACCTCAGTGTTGTTACTTTAACCATGTCTCCTGCCTGTGTCCTGTGAAGAAATTGCCTTTAGTTGTACAGGAGCTTCCCTCAGGAGTGTCTAATCTTTGTGTGTGTGTGTGTGTGTGTGTGTGTGTGTGTGTGTGTGTACCTAAACTTTTGACATTGCAAAGCCACGTTATCATGTACAAAGTTTAGCCCACAATTGAGTTACCCTGTCTCCCATCACTCTCCCACTCCCCCAAAATCATGAGGCTGGAAAGATGAATCAGTGCATAAGAGTGCTTCACTTCCTGTGCAAGGATGAAGACCTGAGTTTGAATCCTTAGCACCTATGCAAAAAGCCAGATGTGACTGTTCATGCCTGTAACCCCAGCATTGGGGAGAGGAGACAGGTGGAGCTTAGGAGCTCAGCCAGCTTAGCCCGAACAGTGAAATTCTGGTTCAGTGAGAGGCTGTCTTTTTTTTTTTTATTTTAATTATTTTATTTTTAATCACGTGTATATGTGTTGGAAATACACATGTTTGGTTGCAGGTGCTCTCATAGTCCAGAAGAGGGTGTTAGATCCCCTGAAGCTGGAGCTACAGGTGGCTGTGAGCCTTTTTATTTATCAGTGCTTGGAACTGAACTCAGGTCTTCTGCAAGAACAATATGCTCTCTTAATCACTGAGCCATCTCCACAGCCCCCAAGAGCTCCTCTCTTAAAGCAATAAGGTAGAGAATGAAGAGGACAGCCAATGGTCTCCACATTTGTGTTCTTGGCATGTACACCTATACAACTATGCACCCATGTACACGAACCACATACCAAACAGAATTCCCCAAATCCCTTCCCAAATATCTCATAAGTATAGTACATTTATGAGTTTTGTGTTGGACTTCTTTCATAGCAATCCTCAGCCTCATGCAGCTGTATCTGGCCTGTAGGCCACAGGTAGGACTTGCCTGATAGCTCTTGAGACTGGAAATCAGCACATAGCCTTTTAGTAGGTAGCCATTCAGCAAATATTTATGTAATGAGGTACAGAGGATGGAAATACTTAAAGGACACATTTTAATGAGGAGGAGGGATATATACACAAGTAGCAGTTTGGCATGCAAATTACAGCAAGGTGCAGAAAAGTGGAGAGGGTGGCAATGAAGGGTCTTTAGTCAGTTGGAAGGCACTCAGATCAGATAGAGTCTCATGTATAGTTTGGGAAGATCTGAAGGAGTTTGGCAGGCATAGGGAGCAGGATGTTTCTGGTAGAACAAATAGTCTGTCCAAAAATTGTCTAGCATTGTGTGTGAAGCCTGAAGTCATGTTCTGGAGAGGAGTGAGTGGAGGAGTGGCAGGAATGAGATAGGTCATGAAAGGCTTCGGGGGTCAGCCAGGGAACTTGGGATGGCAGCCTTGAACTGTAAGGGCCAGATACTAAATCTTTCAGGTTCTGCAGACCAGACTGTCTGTATTTCAAATACCGTTAAGCTGTGCTGTTGTAGCACAGATGTGCCCACAGATGGTCCATATATGAGAGAATCACTGTGTTCTAATAAAGCTTTATTTACAAAAAGCCAGTGGACTTGCTGCTTCCTACTGTAGATAACAAATAGTACTTTGGTAAGAGTGCTCACAGAGACTTAGGTTTCAAACCTTACTTTGGTGATATTCTTGCAGATGGCTTCTGCAGGAGAACACCAACTACGAGATTTTTCTAACAGTTTGGCCTGAAACTCCAGTGGCTACTGGAGCACCTTACTGTGCTTCCCACAGGCTCTTCAGAGTATTGGCTCTAGAGTTTGTTAATAGGTACTAGTGAAAAAGGAGGGTTTTATTGTCAGTATATTTGGGAGAATGGTGGCAAAATAAATTGGAGTGGGATTCTTTTATGTTTTACAATATGCAGTAGAGAATTACTGCCTTATTTTTATTATAGTTTTCCAGACAACAGGGAATTCATTGATAGTATGTTTACCCCTACTCTTAGTTGCAATCAATGTTTTCTTTAAATAAAATAAAATAAAACAAAATAGGACTATTTTAGCTAGGTGTGCTATAGTACACGCCCTGTAATCCCAGCACTTGGTAGGCTGAGGCAGTCAGATTGCAGTTTAAGGCCTGCCTATGCTCAGCAAGACCCTATTTTAAACTCCTTCTTCTCCAAAGCACTCTATGAGCAAACACGTTGTATATTTTCATTTTTTAAAATTTTCTTCATATACATGTAACAGTGTGATTTGAATACAATACAATGTTAACTTGACTGGAAAATTTGTAGGTCATACAATTCTAGATGTTTTCACTTAGAGTATTACAAGCATACTATTTAAAACCTACATTTACCCTTTCTTGTCTGTAATTTGGGAATTTTAGATATGTTGGTTTGTTATTTTAGCTCCTTTGTATAGCAGGTCATGAAAATGTGGTAATCACTGCATTCCAATATCTCTCTTGCCTAGGGAATTTCTGTATGCAGTACGCTAAGATTTTTACTTGAAAGATTCAAACAGTTCCAGCTGGGCGTGGTGGCTCATGCCTTTAATCCCAGGCAGAGACAGGCGGATCTCTGTGAGTTCAAGGCCAGCCTGGTCTACATAGTGAGTTCCAGGCCAGCTGGGACTACAGGGAGACCCTGTGTCAAAAAGACCAAATATATAAATATTCAAACACTTCCTTTAATAACAGTAATAATTAACCTTTATTGCAGATTTGGTATGTACCAAGTATTATATCTGTGGTATGTCTTAATTTTCCTAACAACCCATTAGGGAAGTACTATTGTTTATTTATATTTGCTTCTGAATAAGCACACCAAATTTGATAGGCTGGTTAAGTTAACCACAGTTCATTGGTTAATCAGTGAAGAAAACTGAGCTTTTGGTTTTAGCACACACCTTCCTCATCTTCTGAGTTTACTGTATTACTGTGATGCTGTGACTGTCCCTGATCAGAGGCTTATGGATTAAGGTTTTATATTGTGTCTGATTTTTTAAAAAATTCCTCTCCTGCCCCCTCACTGCCTCTTTTCTCAACTACAACAACCAACATAGAGGAAGATACCTGCAACCTCAAAAGGTGTATGGACTCTGCACTACCAGCATGTAAGCTGTTATGTCCCCACTGGTAACCAGCCAGCTGTCCTGAAATTGAATTCAGTTCCAGCACTCTATCAGATCTCACAGGGTGAAGACTCAATTCCCAAGTTTGTCCTTTGTTTTCAATTTTGGTGGCAGTCACAAGCACCAGCTTGTTTTACCTTTGTTTTTGATTGATCAGCTGTAAATCCTCCTCAAGTGCTGTGATTTGCACTCATAGCACTTTAGGAAAAACTTATATTTATTACTTCAAAAAACAATTATGTTGCCAGGTGTGGTGGTGCACGCCTTTAATCCCAGCACTTGGGAGGCAGAGGCAGGTGGATCTTTGTGAGTTCGAGGTCCAGCCTGGTCTACATAGTAAGTTCCAGGAAGTTGGGGCTACAAGGAGACCCTGTCTCAAAAAGACACACACACACACAAAATTACGTGTATGAGTGTATTGTCTCATGTGTGTAAGTGCACCCATGTTGTGCAATGCCCACAGAGGTCAGAAGAGGGCATCGGATCCCTTGGAACTGGAATTATAGTCAGTTGCTAGCCCTGCCATGTGGGGGCTAGTAATTGAACCCAGGTCCTCTGCAAGAGAATTCAGTGCTCTTAATCACTGAGTCATCTCTCCAGCCCACCATATTTTATCACTTTTTTTTTTTTTTGTCATTTTTGAGATATGATCTCTTTGTAGCCCCAGCTGCCCTGGAACTCACTATGTAGACCAGGTTGGCCTCGAACTCACAAAGATCCGCCTGCCTCTGCCTCCCAAGTGCTGGGATTAAAGGTGTGCACCACCACGCCCGGCAATTTTATCACTTTTTAAAAAAATAAACGATAAATACAGACAATTCAGATAAAAGTTGAGGTTGTAGTGGGTTCAGCGCTTCCATCCCTTCCCTGGGTGTTCCATGTTCTAGGACCCTCCACATCTCAGCTATCCAGAAGCTCTTGGGACACTGTCCTTTGGGATCCTTATGGGGCAGGGCCTCTCATAAAAGAGGGTTTCTAGCAATCTTATCAGTGAGGAGCAGAGACTTTCTTTATGGGTGTTACATGCCTTGAGAAAGAGAAGCTTTAGATTCCATGGTGAGCCAAGTGCCATGGGTAGAACCCCACATGTGTACGTGTGTGCATGTGTGCATGTGTGTGCGTGTTGTGTGTATGTGTATGTATTTATGTAATACTGGACATGATTTTCTTTTGGTCACAGAACGTTTGGATGGCCGGTGCAGCAAGTGGGAAAGGGAGAACAAAGTGACTGTTCACCTGTGACAGATAATTAAAAGTTGTAAATTGTTTTGTTTTGAGATAGAGTCTTAAGACAGGCCGAGGCTGGCCTTAAACTTGCTATGTAGTCAGGGTGACCTTGAATTCCTGATCCTTCTGCCTCTACCTTGTAAGTGCTAAGATTATAGGTGTATATTATCATGTCCAGCCCAAAATTTTGAATTTTGAAGAACGGAAGTTAACATAACTATAAACCTTTAAATTATTAAAAACTTACTGATTAGAAAAAAAATTCAAGTGGTCAGAAACAGTTTTCCTTCTATCCAAATTGTTGGTGATTCTTATTAACCTGTGTCTCAAAATCTGGGTTCTGTTTCATGAAATAGGGAATTGTGTTTTTCTGTTCATTGTTTAAGTTCATCAGAGCAAGCTGTTTTAATGTTTCAAAAAAAAGCATGCTGTTTGTAACTTGGACTTCTGTCCCTTCTTGGTTTAGAGGACACTGTGGTAGCCCTCTCGGTGACAGGTATCCTGAAGGTGTGGATTGTTACCTCTGAGATAAGTGGAATTCAGGTAAGACAGAGATAGACAGTGGTTTCTGTCTTTATTATATAATATAAAGCTTTAGTAATCATGTGCTTCTCCCTTTTTCTTTTTCTTTTTCTTTTCTTTTTTGGTCTTTTTGAGACAGGGTCTCCCTGTAGCCTCAGCTGGCCTGGAACTTACTATGTAGACCAGGCTGGCCTCGATCTCACAGAGAGAGATCCACATGTCTCTGCCTTCTGAGTGCTGGGACCATGCCCTGCCAGCCTCCATTTTTTTTTCTTGAAAGGAAAAAGCTTTTCTATTGAAATAGTCCTATGAACATAGTAGAAAAGTTGTACTGTTTGTGTGAGTGATTTTTTTTTCCTCAGTTTTGATAGACATGTCTGCTCCATCAAGGTTATTACCTAAATATATTACAAAGAATTTGAATTAGAGAAATGTAAAAGAGGTGTTTTCTTCAGCTGCTTTTCTTTAAAAGTTAAAAGGTAGTTTACTTGAATGAAGCAAATATAGTGAACTACCCACACTAGTTACTTTTCTATCCCTATGACAAAATACGTGACATCCTTCCTCTGAGGGAGGAAGGATTTGTTTTGGTTTGTAGTTTCGGAGATTATAGTGCAGAGCCCTTGGCTCAGTTGATTCTGGTCAATAGTGAGAGACAGTAACATCATGGCTGTGGGAGTGTGGAAGACGTGGAGACTGTCACCTAATAGCAGCCAGGACACACAGAGAAAGGAAGGGACTTAGGACCAGGCAGAACTTTCAAAGGCATGTCTCTTGTGACCAACTTTCTAATCAGAACAGACCACCTAATATTTCCAGAGCATCCTCAATATTGCACCACAGACCAGGGAAATAAAGTACATAATGAGCCTATGATGACATTTTCCATTCAAATACCATCAGCATCCTGTCATAGTTCTGTAGAGTAGAATTCTGTTACTTATTTTTTACAATAAAATTTATCAATTTTCTGACTATTGATACTATTTTCAGATGAGGAAAATTTAGGGATTAAACTTGGGAAAAACTGGAGGAATTGCTCAGTTTTATCTTTTTCTTTTAACTAAAGTACATTAAAAAAAAAAAAAACCCTACAGGATTATAGCAAAATTCCATTATCTGCCATTTCTGGGGAGGACAGTGTCTCAGCAGGATTTAGATCTTGGATAGCTTTGTAGCAAAGATATTTTTCCCCAGCTGTTTTTAGGGTATGTTTTTGCTACTTTTTACTGTCTTGACTCTTACCTAAGGAGCTATAAGAAAACTGTATCAAATGGTGCTTTTTTTCACTGTTAATGTCTTTATTATTATGTGGTAACTTTAATTAAGAGCCCTATTATTCCTGAAGTCTTAGAAATCTTTCTCTTTTTCAGGATACTGAGCCGATATTTGAGGAGGAATCCAAACCAATTTATTGCCAGAATTGTCAAAGCATCTCTTTTTGTGCATTCTCACAAAGGTCACTTTTGGTTGTATGCTCCAAATACTGGAGGGTAAGTTAAGTAGATAAGTATGAAGCTGCATTTTTATCCTTTAAAAGAAAAGTTTAATTCACTAGATGTCCAAAGATAACCCCAAGGAAGTGCCTGGTGCAGAACTTCTGCCATTTGGAACTCATGTCTGATTTGGATGTTTTTTGAGGCATTGGGCCTTGGCTCTCTGTAGCCCCTTTTTTTTTTTTTTTTGTGGTTCATGAAATGAATGAATTAGTAATTATATTTTGTTGATCTTAATTTCTACTTTTTTACTATTTCAGTTATTATGTATAGTATACGTGTTGGTAATAAGGTTTCTGTAGGTTGAACAGTTCCCATTGTAGGACCCAAATGATTTTTATTTGTTTGTTTGTTTATTTACTTATTTCCTGCCTTCTTAGAATTGGAAAAAAGTCGTCTATCACTTGAGCGCTAATGATGACATGAGTATGTTTTTTCTACCTTGCTTGTCTTTTATAATAGAGGAATAGCCAGCACATTTTGAGTATTGGCTCTGTACTTAACTTTTTCAGAGCTTTCCGTGTATTGTTTCTTTCAGTCCTCATACTCTCTGAGGCCAATTTGCTTATTATTGAACTTTGTATACCAAGTTACTCTAAAACTTAACATAGTAAAACAGAAATCTGTTGCCCATTTTTGTGAATGGTGATCTGGGCTTAGTTTACCAGTGGTCCAGACTCTTTCATAGGCTGTCATCACAGTATCCTTTTGGAACTGTGACCTCATTTGCAAGTTCAGCTTTTGGAGGATTTGCCTCCATGCTTCTTCACGTGGCAGTTGCAGACCTTTAGCCTCCCTGGTGTGCCAAGGAGAAGTGTTTCCATCTATTGATTGCCATATATCCCTCTTCATGGAGCAGCTTGCAGCATGGGAGCAGGCTCACCTCAAAGTGAGCAAGAGAAGGTATGTTTAAGATGTCTTGATCTTGGAATTGAGATTTCATCCTTTCTGCCATATTCTGTACTCTAGAAAGAGTTGCAAAATTCAGCCTACACACAATGGAGGAGGGTGCTGGGGAGCCATCTGAGGGGCTTCCTACTCCAGTAGGAAATGTTAGAGAGGATAAACAGCTTGACTGAGGTCGTAGCAGTGTTAGTGGAGCTGCTAGGCTCTGGCTCAGGTAGTCTCTCAGTGCTACTACATTATATTGCCTCGTAGAACATGGAGTTGAATGGGTTTCCTAAGCTTAGAGGACAAGGCATGGACCCCAGAGTGAAGGACTGATTAGGGGATAGAATGTTAATCTTATCCTTGTCACTGCTACTGTTTTAGAGTGAGATTTGGGAGGAAATGCTGGTGACTTGCTCAGAGTAGCCATATGGTAGCCTTTTATCACCTTAAAATTTAAAACACACGTGGGCTGGGGATGTAGCTCAGTGTGCAGTGTTTGCTTGGCATGTATGAGACTCTGTTCTATCACAGACCCCCAACCCCCTTTTTAGGGAGCACAACCAAAAAAAAAAAAATCTTCCTCACATGTGACTAGTAACAGAATGCGGAGAATACAGCGACAAGCTTTTCTCGTACATATCCTTTCCACCGAACTTCCCTTTCTCTCCCCACATGTATTATCTAGTACCAGTTGCTTATGTGTGCATTTGTCTTAGTTAGCTTTCAGATTGCTGTGATAAAACACCAAAATCAACTTGGGGAGGAAAGGGTTTATTTGACTTACAGCACAGTCCATCACCAAAGGAAGCCAAGGCAGGAATTCAGGGCAGGAACCTGGAGCACAGACCATGGAGGAATTCTGCTTACTGGCTTGCACCGCTGGCTCATGCTTAGCCTGCTTTTTCTTATATAACACAGGACCACCCGCAGGAGTGGCACCACCCACAGGAGTGGCACCACCCACAGTGGGCAGGGCCCTCCCACATCACTCAGCAATCAAGAAAATACCACACAGTCATGGCCACAGGCCAGTCCAATGAAGAAAATTCCTCAGTTGAGGTTCCCTCTAACCAGGTGTGTCAAGTTGACAACTAAAGCTATCCAGCACACCATTAGAAAATGAGTACCTAAGTGAGAATGCAACCCCTATAATGACAAAAAAATACTTATTATGTATGCATATGGTAAGTAACTTTTCCAGTATTATTAAAAAAACAAAACAAAACAAAACCTCCTTCAAACAAGAAAACAAGAAAAAGGAAAGCTGAATGTGAAGGCAGAGACAGGTGGCTCTCTGGGAGATTGAGGCCAGCCAGTCTACATAGAAAATTCCAGATCAGGTGGGACTACAGGGAGACCCTGTATCAAAAAACCAAACCAAACAAACAAAAACCAAAAAAGAAAAATATAAACAGTGCATTAGGAAAATGAACCAAACTATTTCAGAAAAGGAGAAAACCAGATGGTCAGTAAATATATAGAAAGATACAGTTTTAGCCGGGCATGGTGGCACATGCCTCTAATCCCATTACTTGGGAGGCAGATCTTTGTGAGTTTAAGGCCAGCCTGGTCTACATAGTGAATTCTAGGCCAGCTGGGGCTGCAGGGAGACCCTATTTCAAAAAGACCAAAAAGGGGCTGGAGAGATGCCTCAGTGGTCAAGAACACTGACTGTTCTTACAGAAGACCTGGGTTCAAATCCTAGCACCCACATGGCAGCTAAAAACTGTCTGTAACTCCAGTACCAGGGGATCTGACAGCCTCTTCTATCCTCTGTGGACACTGCACGACATGGGTGCACTTACCTACATACAGGCATAAAACTCATGCACATAAAATATAAATAATGAATAAAATATTAATAAAAAGAAAGAAGGAAAGAAAGGTTCAGTTTTAGTCATTTGAAGACTAAAGCAAAGTATAATAAAGCTGAGCCTAGAGAGATGGCTCCGAGGTTAAGAATGCTTGATGTGCAGTCATAAGGACTGGAGTTCAGCTCATAGTACCCAGATGACAAGCTGGATGTCCTTGCAAATGTCTGTAACCCTAGACAGAGGTGGTAAGGGGACAGGCGGATCCCCAGGGCTTGATTTCATCCTAGCTGAGATGAGAGCCCCATGAGAGACTCTGACTCAAAAGAGTAGGTAGTAGGAGAATGATCGAAGAGGACACCTGATGCCCTCTTTTGGCCTCTACACACATGCATACACACAGACATCCCCCTACATATAAATGCATAAATATATACTTAGAACAGAACCTTCAACTAACCAGAATGAGTTTTTTAGCTCTCCATTACTATAAAGAAATTGGAATTTTTTTTTAATTTTTACAAAAGCTTTATTGAGAATTTCATACATGGATATAAGGTGTTTTGATCAAATCAATGCCCACTCTCTTCATTCCAACATCTCCCATAGCTCCCCATCACTTTTTTCTTTCTCTTTTTTCCTTCTTTCATTTATTTATTTTTTATTTTTTAAAATTTATTTTATTTTATTTTTTGTCTTTTTGAGACAGGGTCTCCTTGTAGCCCCAGCTATCCTGGAACTCACTATGTAGACCAGGCTGGTCTCGAACTCACAAAGATCCACCTGCCTCTGCCTCCCAAGTGCTGGGATTAAAGGCGTGTGCCACCATGCCCAGCACTCATTTATTTATTTTTATGGGGCTTTTGGGTACTGTAACATTCCCCCCTCTGAAGAGGTAACCCTAAAATCTTTTAAGGCTTAGATACAACCCAACCTCCCAAATACTTTTGACAGTTTTGGCCTTTGGAACAGAGTATGTTGCTAACAATCCCAAGGACATTTTGACTTTTAGCCAAGAAACTGGTTACTTTTCTTTGGGTTCTTTTTACCCTAACTGCCTAGCCAGTTCCTATCTCCTATTCTTATCTCCATCCTCTGAAGGGGTTACCCAAATTGGAAATTGGCAGTGTTTTATGGCTCCACAAATAATTGTGACATGTTTATTTTTTTCTGTCACTCACTGGCCAGCCCCATGCTTACAAAACAGCAACTCACATTTCTAGTACAAACAAACAATGGGGTATTCACTGAGGCAAGCTCTCATCCCTTCAGTGATGATTCATTCCTGAAAAACTGCCAGTATCTGACTTGTTTGATTCCTTAGAAGATCCATCTACCCTGATATGGCTCAACACGCACCTCAAATGAGCATCCTTTCCCCTAGGGTGGAGGGTAGAACATTTCTCACAGAAATTAGGCTGAGGGACATTTGGGTACAAATGCCTGAATGAATAGTACTTGGCATGTGTGGTGGGTTGTATGAGGTTCTTTAGGGGTATGGGGGAGGCATGGATTGGGGAGGGGATCTAAATTTGATTAAGAACTGTTGTATGAAATTGCAAAAGCTCAATAAAAAAAATAAACTATAAGCCATTTTTTGGATACAATTGAGGCAGTGGGTAACAGTTCTTGCAACTAATAATGTAAACAAAAAACATAAAACAGAAAACTTTAAAAAGTATTTTATTTATTATTTTTATGTGTATGTTTGTATTGCCTGCATGTAGGTAAGTGCACCCATGTCGTGCAATGCCCGCGGAGGACAGAAGAGGCCATCCGATGCCCTGGAACTGGAGTTACAGACAGTTGTTAGCTGCCATGTGGGTGCTGGGATTCGAACCTGGGTCTTCTGCAAGACCAACCAGTGTTCTAAACCACTGAGTCATCTCTCCAGCTCCCAAACAGAAAACTTTAATGAGATATCTAGAAGGCTTTGAAAATTGAAACACTCTGAAGTATTAGGGTTTTTGGTTGTGGTGGTGGTTTTTTTTTTGTTTGTTTATTTTTTGTTGTTTTTTTGAGACAGAGTCTCAAATAGCTCAGGGTGGCTTTAAACTTGATATGTAGCCAAAGATGACCTTGAACCTGATCCTTTTGCCTTCATCTGAGTGCTGGGATTGTAGGTGTTATAGGTGTTTACCACCCGACCCCTTTTGTACAGTGCTAGAGATGGAACCCAGGCATTTGTACATGCTAGGCATATACTTTACCAGTTGAGCTACATTCCTAGCCAAACTTCATTGTTTTCTCTAAAGAACAGTAAAATAAAAACTAGGCCATTGAAGAATGATGAATTCTCATTTTCCATGGATAAACAGCGATTTAGCTAAGTTAGCAATTTAGAATGTCCCTTTTTTTGGGGGGGGGTGGGGGGAGGTAAAGGTTTATTTGGATTACATCTCCCGGGTCACAGTCTGTCTCTGAGGGAGCACGAGGTAGGAACTCAGAGCAGGAACTTGGAGGCAGGAGCTGAAGCACAGGTCATGGAGGAACGTAT